CCACTGCCCACCCATCACCATTCCCGGCCCCTGATAACTCTGAAGTATGGTTTTTCTGAGGCTCTGTGGATAAAACTAGAACTGGCAGCTTCAAGGGCTCCTCCTATTTTTGCAATGGAATAAGATTCTAAATTCCAGTTTCCCTATGAATTCAATGACATGTTTTAAATCTCTGTGATGTACTTCAAATTTTTTCTTCTAAGAGGACCTCTCATGATTCTCCAACTACAAAATAAATTCATTATCATTTTTATATTTCTTCTGTCATTGCAAAGGAGGTTTTGAAAGAGTGGAGGACATGCTAATGCACTCAAAAATCCACATTATTCCTTGTTTCCATCTGTTGTTCATTTGTTGTTTCTGTTGGGCAGTCTGCCTCCTATCCTCCCTTTTAGACTTGGAACTCTAGCCTCAGCCAGGATTATTAGGGCTTTTGGGGTCTGAAGAACCAAGCCCAAACTCATTGACTTTACAACTGCATCCAGAGCCAGCCTGACCACAGGAATTGCCCATGCTGAGTTTCTACACCTTAATATGAGAAGAGAACATAGGGGCTGGGTACAAAGTAGGCAGACGGGGAGGGCAGGGAACTCTAAGGCAGAGCTTGAGGGATTCATTCCTGTTGCAAAATGAAACAAAAACCACAGCACAGAATATGTACATTTTCATGGCTGAATTCCTCCTAGGCCAGTAAACCCTTACACAATTGCTGCTATCTCTTCTCTTTCTCTCAAGGAAGGCAGTCAAAAAATACCCGCAGCCTTACTGTCCTCTTGGAAACAAGATGAACATCTACATTTTCTAGAGTGGGACCAGAATCTCTTTTCATATTTATGGCCCACTCATTTGCATATGGCTGGACAGAGGACTTTGCTTCTGCCAGCTCATCTGTCTTCAAATAAGAGAGGAAACAGACACAACCCTGATGCAGCAAAGAAGCAGCTCTTTCTCAAGTGACCTCCTCTATCTCCCTCCTTCCTGGCTAACGGGGCAGCCTTGATTCTCGGGGATCCTGGACAGATATCCACTCCTGACAAGTTCCGGAAAGAATGACAACCAATCACGTTCTAAGCACCACTGGATGTGAACCACAGAATTTCCTCCTCTCCTTGTCGGATATCAGCTTGCATTTGACCAAAAAAAAAAAAATGTAAAAATGACAGAGTTACAATCTTAAGGAGGAGTCAAGCTAAAGCAAAAAGTCAAGCTAAATCACAAAAAGATGCTCTGGACTCCATCATGACTGCTGAGCTCAAATACGTACAGAGAGAGAAAGAACCACAGACTTGAAGATGGATATCTGCCACAGATACTCCCAAGTCAGGTAGGGAAACTGCCATCCCTCAAATCTTGCAAAAGGCAATATTATGCCATTGTGTTCCCTGACATACTGGGTGATTTACTGTATGTTACTGATGTGAGGGGAACTTCCTAAATTGGCTAGTAATTATCTCAAATAAAAAGCAAAAATGATGTTTCTTGAAAAGTTACACCTAAGGAACATTGCTAAAATAGCTTATCAGTAGTGTTCAAGATGATGTGTAGATGTGCATTGAAATGTGTACTCGCGCTCTCTCTCTCTCTCCTCTCTCTCCCTTTCTCTCTCTCTGCTCCTTGCCTCCCTCCCTCCATGGCTTTTCTTCCTCTCCCCTCCACAGCAGTTCAGAATTTTTTTTCTGATAATCTAACTTTGCTGAGGGTTCAATGTAAAGCAGTTTCGGTAATGAGTTGGTTGGAATGGTCCTCAAGAAATTCTATTTCGATCACTCTTATACATGAAATCCAGGAACCTCTCAGACCATCTTATTGACACTTTGCCTTTCTTCAACAAATCAAGCTTATCAACATACATCATAGATACTTTGTAGAATGGTAGATCCTGGCAGAGCCTCACGGATGCTTCTGAGACAAGATTTGCTTTCAAAAAACGAACCACACATATCCTAAGGATCTCAAACACTTCTCGTGATCCATTTTACGTTACAGCAAATATCACGACAATCATTCCTATAGATCACCACTGCATGGGATCAGTAAAATCGTTTTTGCCACAACCGTACTTAGGATAATCATCTTTTGTTGGTTAAAAATACTGCTTTACAATAGCTATTCGGTTGCACTGTTTATATTAGATTTTCAATTAGCTCACTTAGGAACACAAATCCCCCACACTAAATCAGAAAAGCTTTTGCCTTGATTTAAAGACTACAGAAAAGTACTGGATGAAGAAAACTCACACGTATATGTACATATCATTTAAAAAGTTATGTTTATACATTGCACAGGAATATTGAGAATGCTACTAAGCAATGTCAGAGTTTACTTTTTTTCAAAATAGTAGTTTTATTATTTCTAAAAACTATAAAATGAATATATTCACATAACCATTTTAAAATTAAATAATCTCTGATATATAGAAGAGTAGGAAGAGAAAGTGTCATTGTTCCTCCTCTGCAATCCCAGGAGATAACTACCAAGAACAATTTATGTGTCCTTTAAAAATCAGCTTGCATTTATATGCAGATATAATCAATTTAGATGGAATCATGATATCTCATCACACATGCTCTTCAGTGACCTGCATTTTCACAAACACTTCCACGTAACTGTACAGAAACCTACATCTTCCTGTTATTGTCTGCTTTGTGCTACATTGTAAAGCTCTATCATAGTTTAACCAAACTCCTATTAACGAGGATTTTAGTTATTTTTCAGTTTTTCACCTTTTAAACAATATTTCCATGCATAGTCTTTATATACATATCTCTGGGCACACTTATCCCAGTCTAATGAGTTTCTCTTACCTTCCCCCAACCCAGCATTCCCTGCCATGCTTGCTACTTCCGTTGGGTAACTTCACTCCTGGAGTATAATCTGCGTATGGTGCAGTTAAGTACATGGGCTCTGAGTTTAGGTCCCAGCTCTGCCACTTACTGCCTTAAGCCAGTTCCTTGACCTCTCTGCCCTCAAGTTTTTGCACCTACAAAGTAGGGGATAATATTAGTTCCTAGTTCATAGAGTCTTGGGAATTATTAAATGTGATGATCCATGTACAATGTCTGGCACTTAGTAAGTGCTCAATAAATGTCACCCTTTATGATTGGCATTGCTTGTATGTCTGCAGAGAAAATCACTTTATATTCCCTGTAAAAAAGGACTATGCCCTTGGTCAGCTAGTTGGCACATTTAAATTTCACTTGCCAATGTTTTCTCTCCACCTCTAACTTGATCTCTCTCATCCCTCGTCTTCTGTTAAGACCAACAGCTGATTCTGCTGTTCAAGGCAACTAGCAAAGCTGCAAGTGACAGAATCAAATAAACCTATCTTTAATCTTTAGAATTATAGTTATGATTTCTGTTGTAAAACTTACTATTGTAGTGGTCAGTATTAGTCTTTGGTCTATGATGCATCTCTGATCTATTATCGATTTTCAATTATTTATTGTTTTTTTTAATTCAATCTGAAAACGTTTGTTAAGCATTTGCTAAATAAATATATTGGACTGAGCCTCCCAAATACAGGACAAATAAAACATCCAATAGCTTATAATTTAGTAGGATAGAAAAAAACTGAAAGCAGATTAAAAATAAGTAGGCATTCTAGGCCCAGTGACCTGTCTCTGTACTCTGTAAATTCAGGTCACCTGCTCAGGAATAATCTGAGAGAAGGTCCCTCTTCAGTTGAATCTTGAAAGACAGTTAGCAGTTCACAAGCCAATCCAGGTGGACAAAGGTGTTCCCAAGCAGAGGGAGTGTTTATAAAAGCTGGATGCCATGGAAAAACTGTGAGGAGTTTAGGGAGTTGGGAGTAATGTATGGAAGGGGTGGAGATGGACAGTTAAGAGTGATACAAGACTGCAAAAACGGAGAGCTGGACTCAAATGAAAACGCTGAAAAGGTCTTCAGTGTTCTTGATGAGGTTACCATGAACTTCATATGTGTTCCACTCTGGAACACTGGGACTCCATGACAGCTCCAAAGATGGCCTGCCCCTGGCTCAGCTCAGTAGGAGCTGAGCTCTACTTGTGCTGTGACAACAGACAAACCAACCAAGTCAAGTCTACTTTCTACCCTATTAATCTTCACTTTGGTTTCATATGTCATCCATAGTTACATTTCAAAATGTATTTCAAAGTTATGAGCCTTAATTTGATATATATTTAGTCTACCTTTTTAAAAATAACATTGCAGGAAAGGAGAAGTTAAAACAGTACCACAAACTTTAATTATTACTCTCTGAGAAGCTGATGATTTCCCTAATTACACTAAATGAAGTTTATCCTTTGCAAAGGCTCCCCAGACCACCCCAAAAGAAAGAACAAAAAAAGTGGCCATTTTTTAATTGCTTGTTTTTCTTTGTAATTTACACTCAGTTTACTTTCTAACAAATAAATAAATAATAAGCAGTCCAGAGGTGGCAAATTGCTAAAGAAAGAAACCATCAGGCCATAGACTTAAATATATTCTCCTCTTGGATTTTAGATCTCACCGAAGAAAATAAACACACGCTGTCAGAGAAGCCCCAGGGCTTCCACACCTGCCAGAAAAGGGAGTTGCACTTCAGCAGCTAACCCAGGGCTCTGTTCCTCTTTGGTGAGAAGGGTTTTTGTACAGCAAGACTATGGAGAGCTTTCACTGTGGTGGACGTTCGGTAAAGGGACCAAGCTGGATATCAAACGTGAGTAGACTTTAAACTTCCTTCCTTGGTTGTCTGTGTGTTCTGTAACCTGTGTCTAGGAAGTGATCTGTAAGCTGACTCTGCAGTCAGACTCTGACATCCTTCAGGGAAAATGTGGAGATGGAGCTGTAGGCAAACTCGAGAATTGATTGTACATTTTCTATGAAGAGCAAGCAAGATTCAGTCATTGGGTGAGAATAACTTGTCTAAGTGATAGCTTCAAAAATGTCCTGGGGAACATAACATGTTCTGGACAGAGCCTTGGTCAGTTGTTAGAAAGGGAGTTTTTGTATAGGAAGGAGGTTAAGAGGAACCATTGTGTGTACACTTTCGGCCAAGGGACCAAGCTGGACATCAAACGTAAGTACTTTTTTCTGCTGATTCTTCACTGTTTCTGTCTAATTGGATTGCTTTGTGTTTCTTTGCGTGGATTTTCATTAGTTGGATGTCAGGGATCTAACAAACTTCATTCCCCAGTTAGGTACAGAGGAGGGGAAAATGTTCCACAGTAGGCTAGCTTGTGGCTAATTTTTAAGATTTCTAAATCAAAATAACTTCATTGAGGGAAGGAGGCTTGCCGACTTTTTAGGGAGGTTTTTGTAAGGGGAGAAGTTAAGTTGAATCACTGTGATTCACTTTCGGCCCCGGGACCAAAGTGGAAATCAAACGTAAGTACATCTGTCTCAATTATTTGTGAGATTTTGGTGCCATTGAATCATCGTGCAAGTTTTGTGATATTTTGGTTAAATAAACCTGGTAACCTAGAAGTAAATAGCGGGGCACCAGAAAATCAACTTAAAAAGCTGAGCAAATAGACAAATCACTGGATTCATGGGGGAAATGGAAAAGAAATAGCTAGATTTTCTCTGAGTGAGCAGCCTATCTCACATGATTGGCTTCGAGGGAGGTTTTTGTTGAGGGGAGAGAGTAAGATTCATCACTGTGGCTCACTTTCGGCCAAGGCACCAAGGTGGAGATCAAACGTAAGTGCACTTTTCTAATGCTTTTTCTTATAAGGTTGTAAGTTTGGGGAGTTTTTATGTTTGAGAGATTAGCTCAGGTAAATTCCAAAGAGTACCAGATCTTTTCAAAAAGTCAGATAGATAAGGATCTGAAAATTAGTTCATCTTAAGGAACAGCAAAGAGCTAGTCAGTTAAATGAGGCATCTAAATCGCAAGGTTTTCTCTGCATCAGTCAGGCTAGTGATATTAACATCAAAAAGAGATTTTTGTTGAGGGGGAAGTAATTAAGCTAATACCGTGGAGCACCTTCGGCCAAGGGACCCGAATGGAGATTAAACGTAAGTAATTTTTCACTATTGCCTTCTGAAACTCAGGTCTGATTGCCAGTATTGACTTTTAGAGGTTTAAATAGGAGTTTTGTAAAGATGGGTAAATGAGGGCATTTCAGATTCACCATGGATTGCCAAAGTTAAACTCAGCTTCAAAAATGGGTTTGGAGACAAAAAGATTAAATTGTTCTAAACTCAATGACACAAAGCAAAAAAAAAAGTAGTGTAACTAAAAAGGAACCCTTGAATTTCTACAGAGCAAAAGTAAATTCATTTTTATTCACTCTTGCCAAATATTGTATTGGTTGTTGCTGATTATGTATAATACAGAAAAGTAGAAAAATATATTTCTTATTCTGTTTTCTCCCTTTTGTTTGATAAATTATTTTGTCAGACAACTGTAAAAATCAATAACATGCCCTAAGAAAAATTAGGAAAAAGTAAAGTGTACCTATTTGCCCATGTAGAAGAGGCAATTTACTTGAAAATCAGCAGCAATGTCGTTTTTTAGAGTCTGCATGACGAATAAACTCAAAACGACAGGTTCTATGTGAATAAGGGCTTCACAGAGAGCACTCATTTTTTAAAACTACAATTTCTACATTAGATTAAACATGAAATTATCTCATATTATAATGGTGGAAAAGTGGTTATTTCCAAAAGCTCAAAGAAAAGTATTGAAATGCCAAAAAAAGTAAATACTTGCATTTTTTAAATGATCACGGGTCTGTAAAAAAATAAGATTTTAAAGAGTATGTTCTTTTAGTACTCTCTGTTACTACTTGTCTACATTTTTATTCCGCCAAGAAGGCCACGGCACCGCGAGCTGTAGACAGAGCCGCGGTCTTTCATGATTGAATGGCTTTGGTGGCCGTGACACCGCGCTCCTGGGGCAGCCGCCTTGCCGCTAACGGCCACGGCCACCCCGCGTCTGCTGGATTAGCGCTGCCATAGGCAGCTTTCCTGACGCACAGTGATACAAATAATGCCACTAACGGAAAGAGAACAGAAATGTAATAGGCACTAAGCTGGGAAAACCAGTGAAAAGACTAACTTATTAGAGACTTCAGAAAGAAAAGTCACATTCATTATGATAGCTCATTAGTGAAAATTTCCATTAGGGGATTGTAAAGAATTTAAAGCTTTTTTTTTTTCAGTGCTATTTAATTATTTCAATATCCTCTCATCAAATGTATTCGAATAACAAAAGCTCAATCTGAAAAAACAAATATGTAATTCTTTCAGGGTAAAATTCACACCCATAACCTGGCCACTCAGGGCTTGATCAATTCACTTTGACTGAATCTGGCATTAAATGGCATTAAATACCATTAGGGTATATTAACTGATTTAAAAATAAGATATCTTTGGGACCATGTTTTTAATTTTCAAAAATGTAACTGCCCGTGTATGATTATATTTCAGTTGTACAAAATATCTAAACCTATAGCAATGTGATTAATAAAAAACATATTTTTCAGTACCTTAATTCTGTGATAGGAAAATTTTAATCTGAATATTTTAATTTCATAACCTCTAAAATAGTTTAATGATTTGTCATTATGTTGCCATTGTTTATCCCAGCTGATTTCAAAAGTGATATTTAAGGAGGATTATTCTGGTGTGCAACAACTCAGTTGGACTATTTTAGGGACCTTTAAAAGCTCTGTTAAAACTAGCTTACAACGATTCAGAACTATCTAACTGTCTTAAACTATTTCAAAATGATTTTAGAGCTTTTTAAAAACTCTTTTAAAGACTTTTAAAACTCTATTAAAAGCAAATAAGATATCTTGAAATAATTTTTGTATCAAATACATTAGTTGTTTAATGTTTAAATGCCAGATGAAAAATGTGAAGCTATCAGAATTCACCCAGATAGGAGTATCTTCACAGCATGTTTTTCCCTGCCTGTATTCTAATGATCACATTATTTTACTACCATGGTTATTTTATACAATTATCTGGAAAAAAAAATAGTAAAAAAAGTTAAAAGACAAGAAAATATCAAACATAAAAGTTCATTCAGTCTTTCATGTTAAACTGCTTGGCTAACAGTGAATTTAGCTTAAAAAAAAAAAAAAAGCTATTCCTCTTATCTGTTGACTTCTCCCTATCTGTTGACTTCTCCTGGCAAAAGATTCTTATTTTTCATTTTAACTGCTGCTCTCCCACTCAGTGGCTGGAATCCCCGTGGAGGGGGATTTCCAAGAGGCCATCTGGCAGTTGCTGAGGGTCAGAAGTGAAGCTAGCCATTTCCTCTTAAGCAGGTGGCCAAGATTACAGTTGACCTCTCCTGGCATGGCTGAAAATTGCCACATATGGTTACAGGCCTTGAGGCCTTTGGGAGGGCTTAGAGAGTTGCTGGCACAGTCAGAAGGTGGAGAGGCTGGCACCACCAAGGCACAGAGGCCGGGCTCAGGACCTGCTCTACAAGGAGGTTTTAGCGCAGCCCAGCCAAATTAACCCCTGGGGGCTTGCTATCTCATCATAGTCCTAGAAGAGGCACAGGGGAAATAAAAGCAAACAGAGGCTTTCCTTGACTCAGCCGCTGCCTGGTCTTCTTCAGACCTGTTCCGACTTCTAAACTCTGAGGGGGTCAGATGACATGGCCTCTCTTTGCTTAAAGCATTGAGTTTACTGCAAGAGGCAGCTGAATGAAAGAAAGGTAAGATCAGAAAAGCATGCAGAGGCCTCGGAACAGCTGCAGAGAGCTCCACCAAAACGATTTAGAACTTTCTTAAGGAAGAGGGGGAAGCTAGGAAGAAACTCAAAATCAATATTTTAAATATGCTCCCTGGCCTCATTGCTATAATTATCTAGGATAAGCATGCTGTTTTCTGTCTGTCCCTAACATGCTCTGTGATTATCTCAAAAAACACACCCAAGTGCAGACTTTTGTTATTTAAACACCATCCTGTTCGCTTCTTTCTTCAGGAGATGTGGCTGTGCCATCTGTCTTCATCTTCCAGCCATCTGAGGAGCAGGTGAAATCTGGAACTGCCTCTGTTGTGTGCATGCTGAATGGCTTCTATCCCAAAGAAGTCAGTGTAAAGTGGAAGGTGGATGATGTCGTCCAGTCGAGTAACGTCCAGGAGAGTATCACAGAGCAGGACAGCAAGGACAACACCTACAGCCTCAGCAGCACCCTGACGCTGAGCAGCACAGACTACCAGAGGCACAACGTCTACGCCTGTGAGGTCACCCATCAAGGCTTGAGCTCGCCCCTCACGAAGAGCTTCCGTAAAGGAGAGTGTTAGAGGGAGAGGTGCTCCAGGCCCACCACCTGTTCCTCAGTCCCAGCCTCTCCCCCTCCCATCCTTTGGCCTCTGGCCCTTTTCCCACAAGGGACCTACCCCTATTGCTGTCCTCCAGCTCATCTTTCACCTCATTCCCCTCCTCCTTCTTGGCTTTAATTATGCTAATATTGGAGGAGAATGAATAAATAAAGTGAATCTTTGCACATGTGGTTTCTCTTTCTTCATTTAATGGTTATTATCCATTGTTTTTCCAACTACTCGATTTCTCTTATAAGGGACTAAATATGTAGTTGTCCTAAGGCATACCACCATTTAGAAAAATTATCTTTCATTCTATGTTACCATATCATCCTCTGTAAGACACTCTTCCCTCAAACCCACAAGCCTCCTGTCCTCACATCTCAGTCCCCTAAGCCATGGTAGGAGAGACTTTCTTCTTGCTTTCCCCTCTTCAGCAAGTCCTCAAAGTCCTTTTTAACAATGACAGTTCTTACAGTCATATATCCTTTGATTCCATTCAATCTTCCCTGAGAATCTACCAAAGTAAATTTTCAAAAGAAGAAAACTGCCATAAAGAAAATCATTCATTGCATCACGATAGAAAACAACAACACGATAAAAGCAACCTAAATGAACAAACAATAGGGAATTGTTTAAGTCCCTGATGGTACTTAGACTTAATGGAATGTTGTGCCTTATTTACACTTTTAAACATGTACTGACAGACACCTGTCTGCCAAGGGCCTTATTGAGTATTTTCCACAACCTAATTTAATCCACACTATACTGTGAGGTTAATAACATTCATTAAAATGTTGCAAATATTCTATAAAACTGAGAGATAAATATATTCTGTAACTCAGCAATCCCACTCCTAGATGACTGAGTGTCCCCACCCACAAAAACTATGCAAGAATGTTCAAAGCAGCTTTATTTACGAAAGCCAAATGTCCAAAAATTGGAAATAGCCCAAATGTCCAACAATTGAATGGGTAGTTAAACATTAAACTATGGTATGTTTATACATTAGAATACCCAATAAGGAGAATTAACAAACTACAGCTATACCTACTCACACAGATGAATCTCATAAACACGGTGTTACATAAGAGAAACTCAAAGCAAAAGATATGTTCTGGATATTTTCATCCATATAAAGTTCAAAACCAGGTAAAAATAAAATTAGAAATTTGGTTGGAAATTACTCTTAGCTGGAGGTAGGGTGAGGTAATACCTGGGAGAAGACAAGAAGGGGCTTCTGGGGTCTTCGTAATGTTCTGTTCCTCATTGTGGGGTTGTGCAGTTATGATCTCTGCATTATTCTATATACACATTATGCTCCAAAATAACTTCATATAAAGAACATCTTATGCCCAGTTAATAGATAGAAGAGGTGGAGAGAAATAAGTAATACGTCAAGACCACATAGCTGGTAAGTGGGGGCTTGGGATCCAATAGCTGCCTGCCCAACCCTGCCCTCTTGAGCCCTGAATGAGGCTGCCTTCCAGGGCTCAAGGTGCTAGACAAAACAACAGACCTGCTCTTTTTTTGACATCTCTGCCCTGTTTGACTAACTAGGAGCACACGTACATAGAAATGGAATGAAACAGACCTTCAGCAAGGCAACAGAGAACAGAGTTAACCCTGCCCAGATACTGAAAACCCATGTATGAATGTTCACATGTTTGGGAAGGGGGAGGGGCACATGTAATACCAACCTTGACTCTTCCTCATTCTGTGGGGTACTCTGGCCCTGCCCCTCTCAGCCACTCATCCATCCAACACACCTTACTAAGCACCTCTCTCCACCTACACTCTGAAGAGTGTTCAGAAGTAATTAACACAGCATCCCTTCCCTCGACTGACTGGCAATCCCTTTGTCTTGCACTGCTTTCCTTTCCCCTGTCAGTACTGGGACAGTAGGGAAGGCCAGTCATAGAAAAACTGCATAAGGAAGCACCTTGCCTTCCTGCCTCTTGAGAATGTTGATGATTATCAAATCTTGGAAACTTTAGAGGTTTGAGTAGGGGTCAGAAAGACCCAGTGATGTCCCTTCAAATGACATGAACGTGTTCACTCATCCCTGGGGGCCAAATTGAACAATCAAAGGCAGGCATAATCCAGTTATGAATTCAAACCTTCTCAGAAGGCAACACTCTGAAGCGAGACCTAACCATAACCCAAACAAGTGAAGACAGGTGCTGCAGGTAGAATTGTATCCTTCAAAAAGGTATGCGCAGCTCCTAACTCTTGGTACCCATAAATGTGACTTTATTTGGAAATAGGGTCTTTTTAGAGATAATCAAGTCAAAACTAGGTCATACTGAAATGTTCATGAGGATGCAGTGAAAATGAATCATTCATATATTACTGGTGGGAATATAAAAGTGTATAGCTACTCTAGAAAATTGTTGTCAGTTTCTTGAAGAACTAAACAAAAGACACCTACCATATGACCCAAGAATTGTAATCCTTGGGAATTTGCCCCCAAGAAATAAAAACTTACGTCTGCACAGAAACCCATACATGATTATTCACAGCAGCTTTATTTGTTCTAGGCCAAAGCTGGAAATAGCCAACCCATCCCTCAACAGGCAACTGGCCAAACAAATTGTAATATATCCATACCGTAGAATACTATGAGACAATGAAGAGGAATGAAGTATTGATACAGAGAACAACTGGAGTGATTCCGAAGGACATTCTACTGGGTGAAAAAAGCCAGTTTCAAAGGGTCACATACCATGTGATTTCTTCTATGTAACATTGTTGAAGTGACAAAATTATCGGGATGGAGGACAGATTCGGGTTGCCAGGGGTTAGGGTGGTAGAGAAAGAAGAGTAGATGAGAATATAAAGGGAGATCTTTGTGATCATGGGATAATTCTGTATCTTGATGGCAGTGGTAGTTATAGACATCTAGACATGTGATAAAATGACATAGAACTGTATACACTTATTTTGTCAATGTCAAATTCTTGGTTTTAATATTGTACTATAATTACATAAGAAGTAACCATCAGGAGAAGCTGGGTGCAGGGCACATCAGACCTCTGTGTTTTATATTCTGTCTTTGCTACTTCCTGTGAATCTATAATTATTTCCAAATAAAATTTTTTAACATTTTTTTATTCAGGATCTGTGTGGGCCCTAAATCCAATGACTGGTGTCTTCATATGGAGGAGGAGATTGGAGACGCAGAGACACATAGGAAGAATGCCACATGACTAACGAAGCCGAGACCAGAGGGATGCAACTGGGAGCCAAAGAGCACCAAGGATTGCTGGGAGCCACCAGAAGATGGGGAGGTGTGAGACGTCGCCCACCACCTGTGGAAGTCTGACCTGCAGACCTGACTCAATGACAGATGAATGAATGCACTCTCACACCATTACAGTGATACAAGTGGGCTAGGGGTGGCCGTAGGCTGCTTTCAGAAGATAAAATGCAAGCAATCCAGCAAGACCCCATGTACATCCACACATTTATTCATAACAGAGGTTCTAAGTCAACACACTTGTAGATAATTAACATGGTTAAAAGAGTGGTTTTACAAATGATAAAAGCTTTAGTTTCGGGGCCCAGAGAAAATACTATTAACAGGTAATTCCCTTTTGATCCTCCCTGGAGAGGGCCATCCAGCACAAAATTAACATGAGTAAACAGAGTAGAGACAAAGAGATGCGGGGTAAACAGACTTAAGCTGGGGAAAGCCTCTTCTCTATCTTCTCCCTAACTTAATGGACCGGCCAGCTGCCTCTGGCCTGCCCAGATAAAACCTTTCGGCCTTCCAAAAGATGTGAGGCTAATCTGTAACTCTTCCCAATATATCTTTAATATTTTGCCAACCACCCCAAGTGAATTCCAACACTGAGGATGGTTTCTTTTTCAGAGCCTCCAGAAAACACTAACTCTGCCCTTGCCTTGAATTCAGATTTCTGCCTCCAGACCTATGAGAGTATAAACTTCTGTTGTAAGTTTCCTAGTGTGTGGTATTTTGTTAAGGCGGACCCAAGAAACTACTACAATGGGTATGGCCGAGAAGAAAGTGAACATCCCAAAAGCCCCCAGCAAGGGTTCACCTCCCCAGAGGTGGCTGGCCAAATCCACTCACAGAAACCGGGCTCCACAGGCCTGAGAGTTACTCAAATCCAGAAAGTTCAGGCCAGCATGAGTTAAACGCCAAACAGACAAGAGATCCAGGCTGCTTCACCTGACACATGGTATGCTTTTGGTTCTAAAAATGAATTTTGGCGTGAGAATGCCCTTACTCTGCATGTACAGCCTGTGTGGTCCTGAGCAAGTTTCTTAATCTGCATGAGCCTCTCTTTCTCACCTGTAAGATGCAGATAATGATGGTAATGCCTGATAGGTAAAGAATTGTGAAGATTAGAAGAGATAGCACGTGTAAAAAGCTCACACTGTGGGGTTGTATGAAAAGCTTAGTGAGTGCCAGCTATTGAGTGAACACATGCGCTTTCACTGATCTTCAGGGTAGGCTACCTCTTTGGATCCAAAGCTCCCTGGGTCCCATGGTAGATCTAAGGCAGAAGTGAGGCAAGAGAAAGAAAAGGAAAAGAGAAGAAATCTAAGAGGGAGAGAAAAAAAGGGAGGAGAGAAAAAAAATGAGAAAAATCTCTCTGCCAAGGAAAACCAGGAAGGCTGTCCCATGACATGCCCCACCTGTGATAGTAAGGGTATCCTTTCTCCAGGTCAGAGATGGCAGCTCGGCACACCACTTGGCTCACCAAGCATGAAACAGCGGTCATTCTGAGAGAGAAGAGGCAGGCCTGCACCCATGGCACAGAGCCACACATCAACTGTGGGAGAGGAACGATGCCGGGACATGGGGAGAACAGTATATGGGCGCCATGGAGACTAGGACACAGTAAGAAAAGTTAAAACCTCTGATAGTGGGCAGTGGGGTTAGTATAGCAATAAATGTTTAGTGTCACAAGGTTGGGGCACTCCAAACGCTAACCACCACCTCCACCGACACTCTTATCAGCCACCTACACCATCCCAAGTATGCTTGGACACACAATTCCCCTCTGTCCCTCCCTCACCCTGTCTGTGAGACAAGGAGCTTCACTGGTCACTTCAAAGTCTTTTTCTGGCTCTAATGTCTATACATCAGAGTGGGATCCTCTGTGGCTTCAAAAAATGACTGTAGCTGTCTATTTTTAACTTCTTTTTCTATGAGAA